AGAGGTCCATCTTACGGAACCCACCCTAGGACCCTTCGGAGACTCACCCTGCCTCCCCCGGGGCGACAGAGGGGGCGAAATAGGCAGCTTCCAGTACCTTTTCTGAGCCTTTCCAGGCTCAGAAAAGGTCCTGGAAGCTCCCGATTTTGCCCCCGCTGTCCCCGTGGGGGGGTGGGGGAGAGCCTGGCAAGGGTCCTGGGAGGCTCCTTTGGACCCTTGCCACGCTACCCCCACCCCCCACGGGGCCAGGGGGGTAAAATCGCCAGCTTCTCGGGAAGCCTCAAAACACTCCCAGAAACTGGCGATTTTGCCGGTGGGAGGAGCGTCACAAGGGTCTGACTGAGCTTCCAGGACCCTTGCAACGTTCCCCCCACCTGGAAGCTGGCGATTTCGCCTGCGCTGGCCCCATGGGGGTGGGGGTGGGGGAGCATCACAAGGTTCCTGGAAGGCTCCCTTGGACCCTTGCGATGCTCCCCCCCCACGGGGCCAGTGGGGGTGAAGTCACCACCTTCGCTCCATAAGACGCACAGACTTTCTACCCCCCTTTTGGAGGGGAAAAAAGTGCCTCTTATGGAGCAAAAAATACGGTAAATATAATCTATCCACCCTTCTGCATATGCCATTTAATAAAGTGTTATGTACTCATAGCTTCAGTAATGACTCTGCAGTTTTATTTGCATTTCCTATCTGATGTTCTAGATAGGCAGCTAAATAGTGTTGTTCTAAAGGGCATCTGATTTCCAGGGAGGCTTTAAAAAAGGCTTTTAGAGAATGCTTAGATCTCATTTAAATGTATTTTTGGATGGTTTAAATCTGTTTTTAATAATTTTACTTTGTTGAAAATTACTCTGGGAGCCCTATTCAAGAGAAAGATAATTAAAAAGTACTACAGATAGACACACATACACCTCATAGTCCCTAAATCATTTATCCAATAGGAATAAGTCAAACTCATGGCATTAATTTGAGAAGTATGTTAACTTTTCCTTTAAAGTATTGATTTAACTCACCAGGGAATTTTCAGATTCCTCCTCTTCATCTTCATCTTTTCCATCTTCTACTTCTTCTGTAACTTCTGCCTTTGCTTCAGCAATCAGTTCTCTGATTGGTTTATTGGAAGTTATAGTAACAAATGGATGCTGTCAAAAATGCACACAAATTCAAATAATCAACACAGAATGCCATTTAACAACATGATATTTAGCCAAGATAGATTTCCCTCATTCCCATCCAAAATAAAAGGATGTATTAAGTACATTTTAAAATCATCATCATCATCATCTTACAACTTCAGAATTGGAAAGGGCCATATTGATCATCAAATCCTCAAATCCAGCCCCTGTCAAGGAGGCACAGTGGGGAACTGAACTCTGGCTCCATAGCCAGCTATCTGCACCACTGAGTTCATAGGGTTTTTTTACCTTTTAATTGGCTTCTAAGTCTATTTATATTTATTCTATATCACCAGATGGGTAAAACACAGATTTTTTTCCCCTGGAAGACTATTCTCCTTGTTTGGCCTCATTTTAGAGGCCTTTTGCCTTAATGAATGCTAAAGCCATATTGGGGAAGGGGGAAAAAGAGCATCATGTTCAGTTACAGAAATCTTCAGTGTATTATTAAACTGAGGAAATGAACTCCACGAAAACGCTCATTAAAATATAGCAGTTAGTCTTTGAAGTGTCAAGTAGACACTTCTGTCTTTTTCTTTTTTTTGATATGCTTGATATGCTACCACAGAGTAACACAGCTACCTCTTCTAAAATTATTATGCTCAAATTCACATCTGAAAATGAAGCTTTTGATGTAGCAAACTAAGACCACTTTGTATTTCCCTGATAAATCACATTTAATTCTGATAGCTTCTTAACAATTATGAAGGCAATGGCTAAGCGCTAGAGCTTCCAGAACAATAGAAAGCAAATAAAGGTTGGGATTCAGAGGGCTTGGTGCACATTCAAGATATTTTATCAGAACATTTCTCCTTTCTGCAGCAAATCCAGACTGATCTTTTGATTTTTAAAATTCAAAACGTTTGACTATTTGACATCAATGTTTTTCAACAGACCATACAAAAAAAAGGGGGGGAGAGATTTGTCCACTATTTTCATCTCCTTTTTCAGATACCTACCTCTCCAATGTACAAGCTATGTTTTCAAATATGGGAACTACTTTATATACTAAATACACTAACCAAAACACTAACTTGAACCATTAAAATACAAGGGCCAAATTAATCCTTTCATTCAAACCTGGCTGAACACTCATTAACCAACACAGGTCCCGCTCCAAGTCCCCACACAGCTTGGCAACGGGTACACGTGAAAGACTTTTCTCCACTATGGCACCAAAAAGTTGGAGCATTCTACTGAAGGAGAACTATAAGGCCGCTAAGTTTGGCCTTATCTCTGCTTGCTTTCTGGCAAGGAACAAAACCTGTTTAACCCCAGTAGGCATTTGTCTCTTTTAATGACGTGTTTAAAATGAAAGGTTACTTCTCACTTACTAATTCTATGCTAAAAAATTTAACAGTTCTCACTAGAGTTTTTAAAACCACACACTGTTACCTTCTCTGATTATTGCTTAGTTGAAAAAGCAGGTCTGTGGAACAACCAATACGTTTAGATTTCTATTTCTCCAAAGAAGAATGTTAGATGGGAAAGATCCCCAAAAGTTACACATCTACAGTAAAATTATATTGTTTTTTAACACGGGCATCAGTGCAATGATGAAAATTATAACAGTTAATTGAAGCTATTTAAAGAGGCACTTATTCTTTAATTGGCACCTTGTTAATTAGCCACCATGACAACTGCAACTGTACTATGGGTGGGAAGGGAAAAAAGATTTTGGCCATATTAAGTTCATTTTAATACATTTACAACTTCAGTGCATTCCTTAACTCAACAGATAAATGAAGATAGCAATCTAAATATCTCAACATATTTTTCACACCTGCAGTAGATCAGCAGTGCTCCACCTTGCATCCACATTCTTTTCCAGACATTTCTTTAAGAAGTCCTTAAAATCAGATGACCTGCAGAAAAGCAAATAAAATCAATAAGCTGCACTCAATCTAGGTGATGTCATTCTCTTTAGTTTCCTTTATATATATACTGTCATATACTGACTGCAATTGTCTTGGTGCAGCTCTGTGTATCTAAGGCTGATGGTTGTCACTGAGGCTTTCGACTGCTATCCCAAAGTCTTCCACCTGCCAACAATCCCTAGGCATCTTTTTCATCCTGGGGAAGACTTTGAGAGCCTCAAGACATGGGAGGGAAGGAATCTCCCTCCAATCAGTCTTACACACATGAAAGACTGCACCAAAAGGATTACAGCCACTGATCTGCTGGGATAAGAACAGGGTAGGTAAGACAACGCGTAGATATTAATGATCAGGCCATTTGCAATTATTTTGATATAAAAATGATGAGATCTATGTCAGCCTTTCAGATAAAGCAAGTACGTCAAAAGAAAAATCTTGCTCTTTATGGAGCACTACTTCCCTTATAAAATTAACAGACTATTAACAAGCTATTGCTGATTCTCTTTCAGAAGAGCACAATGAAAGCTAGCATCTAACTTATAAGATGCTTCTAGTCAAACTAGTCTTAAAATGCCTCCTATTTGTCTCTTAGGAAAACGAACATTTACTTCAGTGGTTCAGTCATGATTTTTTTGCCAATTGTTTCAAAGACAGAACTTGAAAATTTTAAAAGAGAAGAATAACCATTTTGAAGGTTGTGCCAATGAAGGTGGCTCCGACTTTGCTATTTTCAGCAGAACTCGCATTGGATTTAATTCATGATGAGGTGGTTCTATTTCAGCCATTTCTATTAAAGTGATACCTAAAGACCAAACATCAGCCTTGTAATCGTAAGGCCTGTCTTTAGATGTCTCACACATCACCACTTCAGGAGCCATCCTAGTGTGGAAAGAAAAAAAGGAAGATTGGTTAAGAACTGTTACCTGCAATCAGCAACATTTTAAACATGTAAGATATGGCTAACAAAACCTATACATGCTCTAATTTAACAACTTTGTAGTTTTACTTATTTAAAAGGCTTGAAATATACAGCTATATAAGAAGGGTTCTATGTTGCATTCATTTTGAAAAGATTACAAAAATGCATACTTACCAGTATGGAGTACCAATGAAAGAATCTCGCCTCTGTATTGTCCTTGTATTTTTAGCAGACACTCCAAAATCCGCTTCATGTAAAAGAAAACAAGAAGTAAAAACTGTTAGGGCTCAAAATTTTTACCAACATACATTTCCACTTCAAATTGGCTGCTATCTAAATCAGAAAAACTATCATTCTTGCCAGTTTACATTATGATTTTAATTTTGTTTCCCCCCACTAGTTATGTGCCATCAAGTTGGAACTGACTTATAGCAATCCTAATAGGACTTTCAAGATAAATGAGATATTTAAGGAGTGGCTTTACCAGTTCCACACCCTCAGTGAGTTTCTATGGCTGAACTGGGATTTAAACTCAGACTTCCTGAGTGTTGAGTCACTCTATCCACTACACCACATTGGGTATCCCCTTCTTGCCCCCTATTAAAAACTTGGTGGAAAATTCTGAAACTAAGTAATTCTTTCATTTTTTTCAGTTTTAAAAATTCCCAAGCAGCAAATGGCCTTGAATGCCTAAAAATGCTTATTGTGAAAGTACACAGTACTGATAAATATTAAAGAAAGTAAAGTATTGGAAGCAGACAAGTTAACCTGGAGAACACTTATGAAACAAGTGGTAGCAGGCAAGATGGCTTAGGTATTGAAATCACACTGAGCTTTAGAAATGCTCAACAGCATTTCTAAATGCTCAACAAAAATTTCTTGCTGTTTCTGAATTCCTCTGAAGTCTAACAATCTACAGATTTCAGAATCTGCTTTTACAGTTATACTAAGCTCTAAAACAGCAACACCTGAAGTCATTTTTAGTCTGATTCAGAACCTTCAAATTATCACTACTGAAATTGAGATGAATTATCATTCAGGTCAAGATGTAAATTATTTATTTATTTATTTATTTACAATATTTTTTAGCCGCACCATTGCCAATTAATCAGATTGTTTTTTTTTTAAAGCCTACACCACTCTTCCCCAGTTTAGATTCTCCTAATCCAAGAACTGCTGGAATCATTTTATAAAATCCAAAATACATCATAAAAGTACACTGGACAAAATCCTGTCCGTGCAGGTGTGACACAAATATTATACCTACATAAAAGTGCCAAGCGTTACATCTGGCAACAGTTAATTGCACAATTTGACTGCACAATCAGATGTGTGAATCCCATTATGACCAATTCTGCAATGTGCAGGCAGAAGTGCTTTGTAGACATCACTTCTACTTTAGTGCTATTATAGCTACTGAGGGTATAATGGTGAGTTATGCCCGTGCAGATAGCAAGAGGATTTTGCCCACTGTCTCATGATATGAGATTATAATACATAATCCCTTTTCGATAATGAGAGTTTGAGCTATAACACCTTCTACATGAAATCTATAGTCACATATGGCTTTTAAAAGCAACAAGTGTTTTAGCAATAAGAATGAAAAATGTAACTAAATATTCTGATTTTAATTCTTTTTAAAAATAATTTTATTGAACCTAATTCAACTATTTTGCCTAAAGCTTTGGGAAGAAAGTGGAGTGGGAATATGAATTTAAGTTTAAACAAAACCTTGTTCCTTTGAAATTCAAAACAACTATAGTTACCTAACTGCCAACTGTAATTAGAAGAATTCTTTAGATTATTTGTTTTCCAGGTCAATAATGCTTACCAAAAGTTATACTCATAACCATACTCACAACTTTTGGTAAACTTCTTGAAATAAAAGAAATGCCAAAATCCAGATAATTCCTTTTACATTACTTCAGTTTTTAAAAAATGTAAAACCCACCCAGTTTGATGTCTCCATCTAAAGTAAAAAGTATATTGCCAGCCTTTAGATCTCGGTGAATAATTTTATTTTCATGTAGATAGTGCAGTGCTTCCAGTGTCTGCCTGCAAACCACCCTGATTTGTGGCTCTGTTAGTGGTCTTTCAAGTTCTGCAGCAAAACACAAAGAGAGATATAAAAGCCTTGCTTTGCAAAAGGTCTTGATAAGCGAAGCAAAAGACAGAAACTCTTCTTGCAAATACAGATAGACAGTGGTCAGAATCTGGCTGAAGAAATATGGTGGCAAAAATCCATTGATGTAATTTTCAGTGATAAATTGCTGCTACTGAGCAAGTCTGGATGGGCATTTGTAGTTCCATGCCAAGTCATATACAGTAACTGGTGTGTTACACTACATGCCTATACAGTGGTGCCTCGCTTAATGATGTTAATTGGTTCCATAAAAAAATCGTTATGTGAAAACATCGTTAAGTGAAACACCATTTCCCATAGGAATGCATTGAAAACCGGTTAATCCGTTCCAATTGGAACAGATTAATGCTTGCAATCATTAGCCCACCTCCTGAAACCTATGCAAACTTAATTTGGTGTTGTTCTGAATCGTCGTTAATTTTTGGTGATTTTTTTTCTCTCTCATTGAAAGCCTTTGAACGAACCATTCAAAGGCTTTCAATGGATTTAAAAAATCACCAAAAATTAATAACAACTCAGAACAACACCAAATTAAGTTTGCATAGGTTTCAGGAGGTGGGCTAACAATTGCAAGCATTTAAAACAGGTTCCAAACATTGTAAGACACTTTTACAGGAGCGAAAAAGGGACATCGTTAAGTGAAATTCCCCCATAGAGAACATCGTTAAACGATGGGGGAAATTCCTCAAAGAAACCCATCGCTGTGTGAATTCATCGTTGTATGAAGCAATCGTTGTGCAAGGCACCACTGTACTAATGTCTTAACTAGTGGCAATTTGCTGCTCAAATTTACACTGGTGGACATACACCAATAGAAAATGTGGTCAATAAATAAAAGCTGATAATACTGAATATAATACATTCAAATGATGCTTCTTGTTTTATCATCCTGTAGGCACTGATCATGATGTTTTGGGCCGTCTTGATCACCCCTTGAATTGCCTTTTTCTCTGCCACTGTGCAGCTCGTGAACCATACACAGAGACAGTAGGATAATATGCTCTCAATCGAACTCCGATAGAAGGTGATTAACAAACTCTCAAATACAGTAATTGAAGCAGTGCTATTTATTGTTGTTGCAAAATGAACCTACAAAATACCTCAAATAGTGGATGAAAACTGTGCTCTGTAGCGTTCTAAAACTATTGCTATATGAAGCACATTTCCCCTACATCAGAATTGGCAACACACTTCCCTTTAAGAATGAAAAACCACATATCCTATCCACCCAGCAACGTATAATTGGGAGACTTCCACCTTGGAAGTAAGGACAGCCTTGGAACTAAGAGGGAAACAGATTCTTTTCAGAACTTCACTACAATGTCCCAAAGATCTCTGAATGACCTTCTTTAGTAGAGTAAGAAACTGCTATTATCTTATGACCCAAGGAACTGTAAAACCTGCTTATTTATAAAAACCTTTTAGTTGGTCAGAAAATTTGGAAAAACTGTTAAGGATATTTTATTGCTGTTTTATTTAACATGTGTTAAATGTGTGCTGATCATTCTGAAAATGAAATATATTTTAAAAACAAATATGCTATACTGAACATGTCATTGACATACAAAACTGTAGCTATTTCATAAGATAAAAAATGTACTTGCCCAACATTACAGCATCTACAGCACCACCAGCACAGAATTCAATGAGTATCTGCATATAAAAATAGGAACAGTTTGTTACAAAAGAGTATAAACTGAAATTTTATGTTGGCTAATCAAGACTGAGAAACAGAACCAAAATTCCTCTAACCAAGTGTACTAGCACCCTTTGGTTTGTAATGCTTGTCTAATAAATCTCTCCTATACTTCTTCATTGTCATAGATTTTAAAAAGAAAAAGAAATGTCAGGTTTTTATGAGCTCCACTGCTTTTCTTCAGCTGTGGAAACAGTAGTTTCAGAAATCTTAGCACTTGACTATTGCTTCATTAGGTATGCATTCAATGAGAACCATTACAATCCCACTATCTTACACATCTACTCATTTAGTCTAGAGAAATCATATACTTCAATCAGACTGAGCTATGCCTATGAACAGGGTAGTCAGTATTCCATTAAAAGATCAACATCTTATAAGAGGTTTACTAATGTGTGTAGCAAGAAAATCAGAACTTTGAAAACTGGAAGTGCCAAGCATGCAAAATGGTCCTTACCTTTTGTGACTTGCCTTTAGCCGCTGTTTCTAAAATGTTATATGGAGCGGCAAAATTGCATTAAAGTTGTGGAAACTCAAGAGGCAAAGCTGGTGGAGTCCATTAAGAATCTTCCTATTCTCTATCATTTGAGTACTAAACAAATTCCTCAGCTCCATGGTTCTTAGAATTTAATAAACTATTGCAAGGGAACCATATTTGTATAACAAAATGTAAACTTTCTGTCACAGACCCTTTATGGAACTCCTGAAAGTCCATATTTTCTTACAGGACAAAATGATACACTAGCATTCAATGAGGACGAAGCAGCTGTGTGACTGCTCTGCTTGTTATTTTGACTGATGATACTAAAGGCCAATGTCTTACTTTATCACTTTATTTTCAAATACAATGTAGGGAGCATATTTAGCTGATAGTACACCATTACCTTCCCTTAAACTTCAAATCTTCTCTGAAATACAAAAGTAGTACAGTGGTGCCTCGCAAGTCGAAAATAATTCATTCTGCGAGACCTGCCATCTTGCGAAATTTTCGTCTTGTGAGGTGAGTTTTCCCATAGGAATGCACTGAAATTTAATTAATGCGTTCCTATGGGATTTTTTTTAAAAAAGGCACTTACCAGGTAGGGAGTTGAGGAAGCACCATCGGAGGACTGGTGGGGGTCCCCCGCAACCATGATCACTACTTTCAGAGGTACCCCGGCAGTCCTCCAATGGAGCTGGGCAAGCCTCTGAAGCCTTCACCAGCAGCATTTTTGAACTTCCCGCCCTTTCCCCCTGCCTTTTTCCTTTCAGAGGCTTGCCAAGCACCGAGGCTTTCATCTTGTGAGTTTTTCATTGCCCAAGGCATTCATCTTGCGAGGTACCAGTGTATATACCTCTAGCAAACCTGTCAAAGTACAATTTCTCCAATTTATACAAGCACCCTCAAACTATGACTTAGTAGCCAAACATTATTGGTTCAAATTGTCCTCCTTCCTACTAGTTCTATGGCATAGCAACAACAACAACAAAAAAACCTGTGGGAAAAGTCAGCCCCTTATGTCAGCCCCATCTTCTCATTTGTGTCAAATGGAATTATCCCACCATTTCTCAGTACATGAAATTCTGAGATATCTATATTGATTCCAGAGTATTCAGGAGAGGACAGATCTGTCTCTCCACCAAAGGTAGTAAAAAATAGAACTTCTGTGGCCAAAATAGGAATTAAAATTATGGATGTTTTCTGACTCTATACTTGTCCACAAATTCAAAGTTCTAGACACAAATTTCTCACCAAAACATTTAAAGTCAAATGTTATGACTATAGGCTTAGACATAAACAATTAAGCAAACTGATAAAAACCTATGCAAAACAGGTTTAAAGACTGATTGTTAAAAAACTGGGAAAATGCACTGCTTAGTCAAGCCTAAAGACACGAATTCCACATTGCCCTTTTAAGCATACAGCTCTGAACAACAGCAAATACATACCCAAAGATTATTTTCATAATAAAAAGCATCTAGAAGTTTGACAATATTCGGATGATCACAGGATGCTAGGATATCAATTTCAACCATGTAGTCTTCAAGTTCTTCCTCAGATTTAGTATCAATCACTTTTGCAGCCGCAAGGACTCTTGTTTCTTTGTTTTGAGCCTGTAAACGAGATAAAAACCAAACTTATGTTAGATGTTTTTCTCATCCATACTGCAGATTATTTTATAAGAGCATTTATACAGCTTCCAGAGACTTTATAAGTCTGTATAAAATATCTGTAACATAAAATATCTGTAACATACAAACTACCCCCTATATTGTTGGGGCCTCCTTTACTCCTAATTTCTTTTTATTAAGAACCATCCAAACTGGCTCCATTTTCCTTTGCCAGAGCAGTGGTATGATCTCTAGCTTGAAAGCTACTGCAAGAAGTGGTAAAAAGCTTGTGCCTTCTTGAGCACAGAGGTGTTATTATTTTTCAAATTAACAACAGAACTAGTCCTGTGAAAGCAAAAAAAAAAAAACATGTTCCAATATGAAAGTGACAATACACACAATATGCAGACTCTACCTACTTACATTGAAGACTTTGTTAATTCATGATCAAATGAAACTCAGAATACAGTATTTAAAATGATTAGTAAATGAAATCTTTAGAACAATCCAGTTTTGCAAAACCTCAGCAGTATCTCAACATCTGCCCTACCTCAGATAACAATTGTGCATCCCTGAAGAAGAGCAAAGGAAACATTTCATCAATAAAGCAAAACAGTCTCCTCAATTTCTTTCTAGTGATGCTGGTAGGGGAATGCAATTTCATTGTTATAACAGGAATGAGAATAAACACAGTCTTTCTGTGTACACTATGTGGCAGTTTCCATGGCCACTACATGTCTGTGCTGTTTTGAGTGCCATTTTCATACTAACAATCAACAACAGATTTGCTAGTATTTTTATTGTGCCACATCCACTTCCTTACAAACATGGCTATTTACAGAAGCAGCTACCAGTTACAAAAAAGCAATGGCTATTAGGCACACAGTTTTCTTCACATTTTCAGCAGTCATGTGGGCATATTTCTGTTCTCTCTGCCAAGATGATACAGGCTTCTATTTTCAGCTTCTATCACATGGAAACAGATGAAAGAAAATAAACAACAATATATATTTACAATATAGCAGCAACTTGGAAGGAATGGAAACTACAGCAACATTGTGACAAATCCCTACAGCAAAAACAAGTTGCCATGAAAGAGGTATACCCTGTCCTCTTGTAACAAATAAATATGAAGATTGATCATTAGCCCTAACACAGCTCCAATCAACATGCAGACAGAATAGCTGAAAAACACACCTATAAACTGTTTAAGATATTAATCAGCAGCTCCTCTATGACAACAAGGAACAGGGTCTCTCTACTTGCTGTACCTCACTTGTAAATTTTCATTTCCCTGTCCATTCATCTGCCACTCCCAAAGAAGTTGTTATAACCAGATAATCTTTGAATATATTGCCACTCAGGCTTTGAATGACATTTTATTTTTTACTTTTCTGCTCTTTTAAACTGGATTCTCCTGTGTCATTTTTATTTCAACCATAATGTAGTTATTTCAACCATAATTATCTGGTATTTATTATGGCACTGCTAATTTAATTTTGGAAATAAAATATTGTAGAAAAGTCATCCCCACATGTTCTTGGACTACAACTCCAAGAATCCTGGACAACACAGCTAGTGGTAAAGGCTTGTGGAAATTTTAGTCAAAAAACATCTGGAGATCAAAAGTTGGGAACCATTGTTCTAGAAAGATGAGAAAAGGGATACAAATATATATTTAAAAATTAATAAATCATTTCAGTTCATCGTTTGAACAGACCTTAAGATGGCTATGAAACAGTGAATAATAATCCTGGGCTTCTTTAAACAGTTTAAAATTGTAAGTAAACTGGCTTGTGTGTCCAAATCAATTTGAAAATCTTGGAAAGCAACTCTTCAATAAAAAAATTAAAATGCTATGTACCCAGGTCATAAAACCTGTGCATTTAGTCAATGATGCTGTGATATAGAGCCCTGATTTTGTCTTTTGAGCTATATCTTATACCGCCTTCTAGACATTTTAACTGAACGACATGGACAATCCTTTTCCTCTTTAAATCTGTTTTCCCCTAGGTCTGGAACAAGATTAATCAAAACAAGGTAAGATGCCTGTCTGTTTTACCAAAGTATCTTTATATGGAGTCCAAAAATGAAAAGATATGCTTCTCTGGCAAGGATCTTCCACCTTTACTATCCAAGATCTTTTATACTGGAAAGGCTGGGGAAAGATCTCATGATTGCTTGCAAGCAAGGCACATGCTCTAAGCCCACACTTCTCAAATTTTGGTACCCAAACTGTTCTGGAGGTCAGCTTCTGAAGACTAAGTGTGTATGGCCAAATGATAGAAAATTCCAGCACTTGTGGCGAACCCCGGGAAAGTCTTCCATGCTGGGGGAGAAAGGTGGCGATTGGGGCAAACCCCAGGAAAGCCTGCAGCGGCAGCGCTGGAAGCCCGGGAGGCTGAGCCCAGCCGGGATGGTCCGGCGGCTTGCCTCCCAGTGGCTGTAGCAGCAGTGCTGGAAGCCTGGGAGGCTGAGCCTCCCTTTTCCTAACCATTGGGGTGAAAGAGCTACAAAGAACCAGTCTCTTCGCCACCAACGGTTTGAATTTCCCGGCCTTTTCCCCTGCCTTTTTCGTTCGTTTCTTGAAGCTCCAGCCACAAGGAGAAGCAAAATTTTGCGGCCAGAGCTGTTTGTAAATTGGATTGTTCATAGGTAGGGACGTTCGTAAGCAGAGGTTCCACTGTAAACCAAAACTAAGTATGGTATTTAAAAATAAATATTAGCACAAATAATATTATAAGAAATTCACAATGCTAGTAATCATTACTACAGAGATTTGTTGAAGCTGTAAAATACCTTTTTTCTTCACACACACACAGAGAGAGCGAGAGCGAGAGCGAGAGAGAATCATGCCACCCTCCTAGAAATTCTTCAGGATCTCCCAGCTGGGGACCAATAAGTTAAAGCTTTGTACCTTTAAAGGTGTGGTCTCCAAAGTACAGCCTCACCCGAACCACCTGGCCTTTTTATCCGGCCTGTCCATATGAGCACGTGGGTGAGTCTGAGCACAAGCGGGCGGGCAGGTGTGCAGGTGGATGGGAGTGCATGCATGCGGGTTGGTAGGAGTGCATGTATGCGTGTATGTGCACAGGTGTGAGTGTGCGCGGATGCGTTCCTTCGGCTCTTGAAAATATATTATGCAGCCTTCTGTGTGAAACGTTTGGAGACCCCTGCCTTAAAGAAATGAGTGAACAGTGGACTTTCCTAAGAGCTGAATATATGAGGGTACTGCAGATAATTTCATATAATCTCACAAGAGTAAATTTTAATTTATCCACAAATAATTATGTAATAATATATAAAAGCAAAGCAGTAAGACCTAGATTATAAAACTACAAGGTTAATCTGTAAAGGAAGATGTAGAAAGACTGAAGACACAATGCCAAATGAAACTAGAGAGGTGTCAATTGTCTTTTGTGGTTCAACAAGCACAACAGAACTCCTTTGTTATTCAACAAAATGTGGTTCTGTAATATTCATAGAAAACGATGAAGCAGTTATTTAATATTTAAAATCCGAGTACAAGAAAATTGTAATAGGGATAAAATGGACCAACTTTAGCCTTGGCTTCTCCAAGGATTCTAGAAAACTTTTTATATTTGTTAGCTCGCTTCATTTGTAACCTACATTCTGACTCTTTACTAGTTTGACTGCCATTTAACATGTTTTCTTCATTACTGCACTAACAAGCAGGAAACTGCCTGCCTAAAATTTCAATGCTACATGCAAATGAGGCCTGGTTTGTTTGCTTAGAAAAATGTTTATCACAGGAACATAGTTTTTGCTGAATATCAAAATACTTTTGAGAAAGGATTTACAAATAACTTATAGGAGGAGGGCCTGAGAAAAAAATCATATTAAGGTCTCACAATCAACGCCTTTCTATGAACTAATATTTTTCCTGAGGCCTGATTAAAGAATCATACCATACTACATGGCACTAATCCACAAGTATTCATCCAGTGAATATGTTGGTGCTATAGTTTTGACAACACTAACAGAAGAGTGCTATAGAATCTGGGCCAATGTGCCTGATGCTCTGCAGATTACTCTCCATAGTGATCTTTGTGTGGTCTTGTCTTAATGGCACATATGACTAATTTTTGCTGCTGACAGACATCAAGTCAACAAAACAGCCAGTTTTTTTTAAATCCACATATACACAGCAAACAAAACAAAATAAAAAAATACTTGTCACCTTTAAAGTACTAAGAAACATGTTTTTCACTAGAGTTTAATTAGACCATAAAAAACCATATCCAGTCAAAATAAAAAGCCCTGCATGTCAGCTGTTTCTGTCCTCTACAGTGTGTAGCTTGCTATTTTTACATCATTTCCCTTCTTTATCTGAAATATTTATATCCCATTCTTAAGACAGAAAGACTAAGAGAATATCTCTGCCCTCTTGGTCACAATATAAAACAGAGGAGGAAAAGGGGGAAACAAAGAAAACCTCAGGCACCAGCAATTAAATGTTACAGTAAAGTCATCATTCCTGTTCCTCCCCTGACAGGTAGACCTGAAGTTAATTAAATGCTTCTAAACAGGTTTCTTTCCTGGCAGATGAAACAGAACATTGCCACAGTATGAGAATAATAAACTGGAAGCTACAAGTCCTACAGATCAGGGAAAGGTTATTTTTGAAGGCCCCAACCTTATAAAACTTCTTTGTCTTCCCAGCAATAAAAGGGGATTCCATTTCTGGAAGCCTTTAGGAACAGCAATTTGCTTTCTAAACAAACCACAGGGCCCAGTTACAGGATTTCAAAACAAAAATATCCCCCTTTCCCCCCCTCCAAATTGTATGTGGACTACTTCCGTTTTCTCTGTTTCTGGCAACCCATGTGGTCCATCCAGGAGCCCAGGGGCAGAAAACTGTTCCACTTACCCAAACCAAGTTTCCCATCCGTGTTTGTATAAGGTGCACATACTTAGAAAGCCACTAATAACAGGATAAGATGCAACTTTGCAACTGTAAAGTAACAAATACTTTGCACAGG